TTATATCTCTGCTACCAGGCATTACATTTTATGACACACAAGGTCTCATTTATGTCAAATCCGGCCTTCATAACAAATGAGTTCGACACCTCTGGGTCAAACCATTTGGCTGTGCCTGGCAAGGTGCATTGCAACAGAGGGAAGGAAAGAAGTCCCATTTATGTCAGATCCAGCCCTCATAACAAATAAATTCGAGTCCAAGCTGGCCATTGCATCAAGAATGGGCGGGGGGGGATCCCATCTGTGCCGCCCGCCACCACTTGGGCCCAGAGCAAGACTTTGCATCAGCCTGCTCTCAGCCCTTCTTGTCCCCTCCCTGGCTGTAACTGAAGATGACTATCTTTGAAAACCACCATTCCCTAACCACCAGGATGTGGTAGACCTTTCCAGAGATAACCAAGTCAATGTCCAATTACAGCCAGAGGAAGGAAGGGAAGGAAGATGGCTGGACGGACAACAAGAGATAGAGGGGACTGCTATGAAGCCAAGGGTCAATGGAGGAGAAGTGCCAACTCCATCATGTTCAAATAGAGTGGAAGGGGCCACAGGTCAGTGGTACAGCATGTGTTTGGCATGCAGAAGGCCCCAGGTTTGATCCCTGGCATCTCCCATTAAAGGATCCAAGTAGCAGGTGATGTGAAAGACCTCTACCTGAGACCCTGGACAGCCACTGCCAGTCTGAGTAGACAATACTGACCTTGATGGACCAATGGTCTGATTCAGCATAAAGCAGCTGTGTGTGTGGGTGTGTGCATGTGACAATGCTGCAACAAAGGTCCATCTGTCAGCACCCTGCGTAGGGTGCTTGGCTTGTAACCCAGTCCTGGGTACACTTTCAACAGATCCCGTAGTCTCTTCAAGGTTCACAAGTACAGTAAATGGGGATGATGATATGTACAGAGAAATACCTGGGAGGCAGCCTGCCTTAAAGCAGGAGGAGAGGTAGTTAGGAGAAGCGCAAGACAGAACAAGCAAGGCAGGCCGGCACAATGGTAGGCCCGCAGGCTGTCTGCATCGCTCTCCCCAAGTATTTCCAGTGGAATTCCAAATGTCCTTTCCACTTTGCGGAAGCTCCTTTAGCCAAAGGAGCTTCTTCTCCTCTCCCTGAATTCAGAGACATGCCTGAAACTGGTGACTGATTTCCCTAGCCAGCAGGATCCACACTGCACGGTCTACCAGCGCCGGGGATTTCCTCAATGTGTGAATTGTGAGTTGCTGGGGAGTATTCTGGGAAGTGTCCGGTCACCGTGGAGCTCGGTGAGAAAGAAGATAAATACTGCAGGGTGGTGGTGGTACAGAAACTAACAAAAACTGAAAGGTGAAAAGGGACCCCGTAATCGTGGTGTTGTGTACGTGTGCACACTCACCATACTGTAAGGCATACACAGAGAAGTGAAAAGAAGTTACAACAGAGAACGGATTAAAAGGAAAATGCAAAGCAGCAATGTTGCTTTTGCACTGTTACTACAGCAGTGCGGCCCTCTAAGTGATTTCTGTTGTGTGTTTCCTGGTGTAAAAAAGAAGCCCTGTGCCCTCCTACATTCTCCTGAATCTACAAAATAGTGCCTATGGTGACCGCTCCATCTGCACCAAATATATAAACCAGAGAGGCAGGTAGAAGATCTAGTCTAATCGGCACTTCCAACATGAAATTGAGCATGGCTGCCACTCAAACACCAAGCAAACAGGACTTTCATCATAGGAGATGTAGGGTCATGGGAATGCCCTCTGTTGGCACCAGTGTCCCCTCTAAGCTGAGTTGGTGTGAGCTAGCTCACAGTTTTTTAGCCTCCACCTCACACATTTTTAACTTAGCTCAGGAAGGATGGCTCCAGAGCAAACTAATTCACGCAGCGGCCAAAACACTCGTTCACAAATTTAATGCCAGTAGCTCACAAAGTAGAATTTTTGCTCACAAGACTCCACAGCTTAGAGGGAGCATTGGTTGGCACCCGTTCACATGTGGCTTTTCAAGTTGCTACCAGGTTCAGTGTCATTCAAGCCCTTTTCTTAGCTTGGTGGCTAACAAGGTGAACTTCTTGCCTGCCTCCAAAGCCCCATCAAAGGCAAAGCTCAATCCTTTTTTTCTTTGAAAAATGCTGCAGTGTTGACTTTTTTGTAACAGCCAGTGTTGCCTAGTTTATTTATATTGATTTTATAATTATTTTTGTAAGCATATAACCCAGAGCCGTAGGCAGGAATTTTTTCAGGAGGGAGCTCTGGGGCATCGGGGTGGGGGGTTGCTAATTTAATTTGGTGTAGTGGTTAAGTGTGCGAACTCTAATCTGGGAGAACCGGGTTTGATTCCCCACTCCTCCACTTGCACCTGCTGATGTGACCTTGGGTCAGTCACAAGCTCTGGCACAGCTGTCCTTGAAAAAGAGCAGTTTGTGTCAGAGTTCTCTCAGCCCCACCCACCTCACAGGGTGTCTGTTGTGGGGAGGGGAAGGGAAAGGAGTTTGTAAGCCGCTCTGAGACTCCGAGTGAAGGGCGGGATATAAATCCAATCTCTTCTTCTCTTCTTCTTCTTCTTAATTTAATTACATCAACAGAGAGAGTAGCTCCTAACCCTGGCTTCCTTCCCATAGTATTTTTGCCACTGGAAGTAGTGCTGTTTACCCCTTCCTCTGGCACCACAAGTCCATCTCAGGGTGCTTGAAGCCAGTATATGGGGCAAACACACACACCCCATACAATCTCTGGTGGTGAAAATACTGCAAGAGGGAAGACCAAAGCTCCTCCTTCCCCCAATCCTCCAGTGTTTTAAAGGTGAGTCCCTGCTAGGATCAATAAGATTGGCAAAAAGACATGCCCCTCCCCTCCCTGGAAAGAAATCTTGCAGTCAGGCGAAACATTCCAAGCAGGAGAATCCCTTTCCTAAGACCACCGTTGAAAGCCACAAGGACCTTCCCCTCTGGATTATTTATTTAGTACTTCGATTTATATCCCGCCCTTCCTGGAAGCAGGCTCAGGGTGGCTCACAACAAAGGGAGATCGTCCCTCTTCCATGCAGCCGGGCTCAACATGATGCCTGCCATTGTTGCCCTCCTGACAGAGACACAGCCTGCACCCCTGTCTCACTGAGACACAGTAGCTGCGACAAACGCCAGCGCACTCAGAGAGTGAGGTAGTGAGTCGCCCGGCAGTCAGCCAGCGAGTCAGCTCTCCAAGAACTCTCTGAGAGCTGGCTCACTGGAAGAAGAAGGAGGAGGAGATTGGATTTATCCCCCACCCTTCACTACCTGAAGGAGTCTCAGAGTGGCTTACAATCTCTTTCCCCTCCCCTCCCCACAACAGACACCCTGTGAGGTAGGTGCGGCTGAGAGACCTCTCTTGAGAACTGCCCTTAAGAGAACAGCTCTGAAAAAAATTATGACTAATCCAAGGTCACACGAGCAGCTGCATGTGGAAGAGTGGGGAATCAAACCTGGTCCTCCCAGATTAGAGTCCGCGCTCCTAACCACTACACAAAACTGAGGCTCGCCGGAGACTCGCTAGCTGGCTGGCACTGGGGCTCCCCCTAAATTGACAGGGGGCTCAGCCCCTAAAGCACCACCACTGGGATGGGAGTTTCATATAGTGAATTACCTCCTGTTAATGAGTCATCTCTGAAGCGCTACGGACATTTCAAACAGTGCTGCTTTCCCTCCGCCCTTTTTCGCCACGCAATCTTTCTCAGACTTTTAAAAACATTCAATGGAGTCAATGCATCTCAGTGGTGCCGCTACAGCACTGGAGCACTCATATTAGAACGTTTTTAAAAGTCCAAGGAAGATCGTGCGGCAAAAAGGGCGAGGGGAAGCAGCATTATAGGAAGCGCTATGGACATTTTAAACAGCACACCACAGCGATTCAGAAGCACAACGAAGGAGTTGAAAATGGAAAAAAGCCGTTTCCCACAAAAGTGGCTCAACCACGCTTCACTAACTGGACCCAAGCGGGTTTGTATGAACAGGTAAATAAATTCCACTAGCAGCCAGTTACTAAAACAGGTCTGTCTGAAATGACAGAAAAAAACCCATTAGCAACCAGTGTCTAAAACAGAATATAAAGGCAGTCTGAAAAGGGTCAGATGTTTGGGAATTGTGTTGGAAAGGACAAGGAAGAGAGAAAGAGACAAGCAGAAAAGGGATAGGCAGGGCCAGCACCAGCAGACTCTGAGGTGGGGCAGCTGACAAGGCCCAGGTCATCTGGCGGGGCCCACTGCTGCTGCCCATCTGCTTGTTGTGAGCCCTCCCACCAACCACACTTCCAGCTGCACGCACTACCCAAAAACAGTCAGGCAAGGGTGGGCAAGAACTGGGAAGACTGGGAACTGAGCAAGTGGATGGGGGGAGGTATAGATGGCTAGGTAGCGGGAGAGGAGGACAGGGGAGTGCGAGAGAGCACGATATCGGCACTGCCAGTCCCAAGAATGAAAGCAGGAGTATGGTCCCTCTCATGTGATCTAGCAATCCATGGCCTGGATCCAGCAATGAATGAGCAGAAAATACAAACACAGCTGGAACATGTCTCCTTGTGCAAGATCTTCTGAAACAACCAGCGTTTTCCCTCCTTACATCTTATGGTGCCCAGAAATTACTCACACAATGTCTTATGTGTGTGTGTGTGGGGGGGGGCAATGGCTCAAGACGCACCATGCTTAACTCAGTGCAAAAAGTCAGCATGAAGGGTTTTTTTTCATGCGTTTGCAAAGATTATTCCACATGTGGAAATACTGCATTGATTTGGATCCACCAGAATTTCTTCAGCCAAATACTACTACAAGTTGAATGGTATCCATCTATTGGGAAGCTATAATGACATTGCTGTGGCATCTAATGACTGCACAGAACAGCACCCTGGTTTAACTAAATACAATTAAAGCTCTTTTTAGTCACATTAGTTTGCAGAAACAAATGGCCTGTTTTTCCAGCTTGCCACCCGATGATAGGAAGTGACCAAAAAAGCTGAAAATATGGAACTCCATCATCATCAACAACAACAAGCAGTTTTCTTACCTGCAAAAAAATGTTCCGTAGTTCATTAGGATCTGCTCTTTTAGTGGTCTGAACCTACAAAGCCAAGGGTAGAAAAAAGAGAGAGAGAGAGACAGTTGGTGCTTCATACATGAGTTATCCATCTACCAAGCCAGGAAACCCGAGAGGATAATCCCTGCTGATAAGGGTAATAAACACCAGGCCTCTTATCTAACTGATAAAACAAATTCCAGAGGTATGTTTGTAAAGCTTAACTATAAAACAATACAGGTGCTCATGATAGCTACCAAATCCATTGCCAGGGGAAGAGAAGCATGGCCTTAAGCCAAAGGCAAAGCAGCAGAAGTTAAAAGTGTCCCATCCAGCAGGCACTTTTGTCCAGGGCCCAAGAAGTCACTGTAAACCACAAACAAGAGTAAGGACATATTGTGGATGCCAGTAAGTTCAAGTAGGCCTCTGTAAATAAACTACCTCTCTCCTCCCCCCCCCCTGCCCTTACAAACAAGATCAAGTGGCAACTGCAGTTCTACATGCACAATACAATACCGTAAATTACTGTACAAGTTTATTTTTCCTAGATTGATTACAACTCTGCAAACCCACAAAAGGCCTCTTATCTCACAACTGTTTGTCGTGCTGACTTCCACTCAAACCCTGGACAGGAAGGAGCTAGGGGCTGCCATCCTTCAGGGGGGGCCTCCCAATCTCCTGGAATTGCAACTGATCTCCAGACAGCAGAGATCAGTTCTCTAGGGAAAAATCACTGCCTCGGAGGGTGGACTGTATGACATTACACCCTGCTGAGATCCCTCCCCTCCCCAGGTTCCATCCCCAAATCTCCAGGAATTTCACAACCTGGAGTTGGCTACCCCAGCCAAGGAGCTGCTCTACAATATATTTCCTTCACAAGGAAATGGGCCCACTTTATCCCAATTAAGGGAGCATCTTTCTTCCAAGTGACCACTTTGCTCATCTCTGTATAGACTCCCCAAAACGGGAGGCATTCTCCCCCTAAGAAACACAGGCGGCTGCTAGCCAAGGATCATTGACCACTTCGAACTTTCTCTCTCCCAAGCTTAATTTTTGTCTAGATCTGCATCGTCAGAATGTAAATTGATACCCTTCCTGTTCCCCAAGTCTCAGGAAGTGCTACACAGGAAGCTATTAGGTGCTGAAACAACCAATCAATTGCCATTTTTTAAATTTTCTCTTGAAGGCAGTCTAGGCCTCAATTTCCCCTTTTCTATTCACCTTGCGCCCCCCCCATCCCTGCTTAAACTTCTAATGAGAGTATTTGCCTTATGAGGACATCGAGGCACTCTTGTGTTCATTATTCCGGAGTTATCAGTTACGAATCTCTAATGTAGATCAGAATTACTGCTCCGTTCAAAAGGGTGAGCCTTCCTCCCTATCTCTGCCAGTATGACTGGTGAATTAAAGAGTCTTCACAAATAACTCATTAATGTATGCCAAGTAAAATTCAGAATGGGGATGTCTGGTCTTCATTCAGTGAATTCAGCAGTCCCTTTCCCTTACTGATCCCACACAACACCAGGTACTTCACTTTAACCCACGGGTGGCCAAACTGCAGCTCAGGAGCCACATGCGGCTCTTTCACATATTGTGCGGCTCTGGCAGGGTGGCTGCGGAAGCTAAGGAGAGGCATGCCTCCCTGATTGATCTTCCCTTCCCCAGCCTGTCTTCCCCTCCCTGGGTAGGCTTGGGGGGGGGGAGCAGAGATAGTTAAAATGCGTTCTCAAAGCCCTCCCCCCCACGCTGGTTGGCTTGAAGGCATTTGTCTCTTTAAATCCCTTCTCCAAGCCAAGCTGGTTGTCGTAGGGGGGGGGATTGGAGAACACATTTAAAGTTGCTTTCTTTTCACCTCTCCCTTCCTCCCGCCCCCATCTATTTGCTTTCTTTCCACCTCTCTCTTTCCCCCTTCCTTCCTCTCTCCCCATCTATTTGCTTTCTTTCCACCTCTTTCTTTCTCCATTCCTTGCTTCCTTTCTCTCTCTCTCTTCCTTCCATCTCCCTCCCCCATCTATTTGCGTTCTTTGTTTGTTTCTTTCTTTCTTTCTTTCTTTCTTTCTTTCTCTCTTTCTCTCTCTCTTAGACAAATAAATATAATTAGCAAATAAATCAATATAATTACAAATATCTGTTATTACCCCTTTTGTTTTTATTTTTGGCAGTCTCATTTGATGCTAATTAAAAGCAAATCTGCACATTTTTCAATAAAAACATGTGTGCAATATTTGTTCATGTATTGCGGCTCTCAAATATCTGACATTTATTCTATGTGGCTCTTATGTTAAGCAGGTTTGGCCACTGCTGCTTTAACCAGTCTGGGGCTGCGGTCACACGGAACATTAGCCATGCGAGTCAGACGGAAGACATGCGGGTTTTCCAGGCGTGATCTCACCGGCACATCTGGGAAGTGTAGCACTCCCGTGGCTCAAACGAGGCTTCCTGCCGAAACCACGCGGCAAAAAACTAGTACCTCCGAGGTACTAGTTTCCGGAAACCGCGGGGCAAGGGCGGGCGTCTGATCGCGTTTCCGGTGGCATCCGGCGCCCGCCCATGTTCCCTGGTGAAAAAGTTTTTTTTTTCTTCTAGTCTTTGTGGATGCGCAAAAGCACACAACGGAGCATGCGCAATTATGGTGGAAACAAAAAAAAACCTTCCAGTTTGCCGCACCGCGCACTTCGTTTTTGCGCGCGGGATTGTTCTGCGATCGGCACCTCTCCTTTCCCACGGAACCTCCACAGTACCTCCACGGGAGGTCTGATCAGGTAACCGCGCCTTAGTTTGCCCCGGGGCAAACTGCCACACTTCCCCCCCGCAGTTTCCTGCCCGTGTGACCGGGACCTGGGATAACTAACAAGGCGCAAGGCTGAGTTAGTCTTTAAGGCGCCACCAGACTTTTGCTTATGTTCCGCTGCAACAGGCGAGTACAGGTAGAATTATTAGCATGCAGACTGCAACCCGCATTTCACCCCAACAATAAACACAGCCAGGCAACTCAAGGTGAACGATAATCCGAATTTAAGACAGCCCAGACATGTGTTTAGGCCTGAAAGATGTCCTGCCCTTTTAAGACAGGCTTTATGTTTGGAAACGGGCAGCTGAAGCTTCTCAGGGCAGGGAGATAAATAACATCCCCTTAAGGCCTTTATTCAATTTACAGGGCATTTCCCCCCTCCAGGCAGCTGGGAACCCCTCGGGCCCCTCCTAGCTCTCGCCTCCCCCTGTCGCTCGCTCCCCCCCGGGGCCGACGGCGGGGTCGAAGCCTGCCCGGGCGCGGCAGCGAGAGCCCTCGTGCCTCTTGCCCCACATTGAGCGCAGCTGCCCGGCGACTGGCAGAGCGCTTTTGCCCGGCCGCTGCCAAGGGCCACCCGTCCAACCGCCCAGCTTCTTATGCAGCAAGCGTATAGAAGAGGAGGAGGAGAGTCACCTTGACCGCCATGCTGAGTTCGGGGAAGTGGATGGAGGAGACGGAGGAGGAGGAGGAGCCTGCAGCAGCGATGCCCGCCAGCCGGGCCCGCCTCCGCCAACGCCGCGACGCCTGCCCAGCCCGGCCCTATGCTAATGAACAGCCCCGGCCAAGTTCGGAGTTTGTCCTGCCGTGACCCGGCCGGAAGGTTGTTCCCCGGGACGATGAGCCGCAAGCGCGAAGGAAAGCAGGCCTCCTTCTCCCGGGGAGAGCGCGCCTAACAAACAAACAAACAAAAACGACGACGCCCTTTCTCCGTCGTATGGAAAAGCAGGAATTTCACACAGAGGAAATGTTGAGTGGGAAGTCTCAAATCGAGGTGAGGGAGACTCGGGGGTGCGAATCAAACTCGCCTACACTGCCAAGCCACTCCGTGCCCACCTTCCCTTAGATTTAACCATCTAAAGTTCTGTTGGGTTAAATGTAAAAAAAATAGTAATCAGTTTTGACTTGGAAGCACAGTATCCCGGATCCTCCCCCTTTCCCGGTTAAAGGGGGAAATCCTGTTCAAACAAACTACAAAGATTATCTGACTCCAATGGTAACAAGAACCACGGCTTACATGACGCATTCATGTAGGTACATTTAGCTTCTTGTGAACAGGTTAACTCGCGACGGCTGCAAGGGTGAGAGAGGGAAGAGAGGTCTTATATAAGATGAAACAGAAGGAAAAGCAAAGGCCAAGGAGGCTCAACATCTAACCAATGAGAGGCTGGGGCCAACTGCCAGGTGTACCTGAGTGAGAGAATTCTCTGAACCCTTTCCCTCCCAGATCCTCTTGCGTGCAGAGCTACAGTATCCAACAAGTTCTTCCAGCTATGACTGGCAGCTATGACTGAACTAGCCTGGTAGTGGTTAAGAGTGTGGGTCTAGAAGCTGGGAGGTCCGGGTTTGAATCCCCACTCTGCCGTAAAAGCTTGCTGGGTGACCTTGAACCAGTCATACACTCTCAACCTCACCTATCTCATCGGGTTGTTGTTAGAGTAAAACAGAGCAAAGGAGAATGATGTAAGTCACTTTGGGTCCCTGTTGGGGAGAAAAGCAAAGTAAAAATGAAGTAAATACACGCTTTCACAGGTGCTAAATACTGCAGTTTCAGTCCACTTCAGTGACCGCTTGCAAGTGGACTTTGCCATTTCACACAGTAAAATCCTGGTGCAAGGTGCATTGAAAGTGGATTGAAAGTGCATTAATAAGTGTGTGTGAAAGTGTATAAATAAAAGTAACCCCCCATTTTCAGAACCAGTATCTGTCCACATAGTGGAGGAAGACAGCAAATATTCTGATACATAAATTCATTCTGAAAGGCTGTAGGATGTACTGATTTTCCAAAGGACTCCCTGGAATAGATTAAAGTAAAGGGGACTGGTTCCATGCATGGTGATTAAATCAGAGAATTAAAGGTGTTGCATGCATGTACTTATGCATTGTGATGTTTAAATCCCCTAACAGGGACTTTGTTGTACCATGAAGATAGATCCAGGTGGTCAGTCATGTTAGTCTGAAGCAGTAGAACAAATTTAGAGTCCAGTGGCATCTTTAAGACCAACAAAGTGTTATTCAAGGTATTAGCTTTCATGTGCATGCACACCTTTTTCAAATACATTGTTCAACATTTTACATGTTAATTTGCTGTTCAGCCCCTGTCTATCAGTTGGAGCCTTACCTACCATTCCAATATATTTGTCTTTAGTCTTTAAAAGTGCTACTGGACTCTTTTCTTGTATGGTACCATGTGTGTAATCCCTCTTGATTTTTATAAAGATCTGACATTTGAAAGGTGATGGGGAAGCCCCTCAAAATCAACTTACAAGTAGACAATCCATTTTGCTTCAGTGCTGTCTACCTGTCATTTGGAATGAACCGATGCATCCCAATTGTCATTCTCTTTCTGCATCATTAGATGCTGCAGTCAGCCAACAGTGAAAGACTGTGGCCCTCATGCCCTCCTTGTAAACTTCAGACACTGGCCACTGTTCGGAAACATACTGCTGGTTTAATGAGAGGCATGGGAACATATGAAGGTGTCATACCTGGTTAGTGTAGAACGGTGCCTGACCTAGTGTGATGTAGTGGTTAGACTCTGCTTCCAGAGACTCTAGTTCAAATCCACACTCATCATGGAACATACTGAGTATTCTTGAGCAAGTCATTTTCTTTTGGCCTAGACTACCCCACAAGATGTTTGTGAGAGGGAAAGAACCATGAACACCACCTTAAGCTCTTTGAGGGAAGGGCAGGATAAAAATGCAGTAAATAAATAAATGGAATAAAGTATTTTTGTATCTTACATGAATTGCAGAATCCTGTCCTATACCTTGAACAGCTGTTGTTTTGAGAACCACTGCTTTAGGCTGATTCAAACATTACCAGGTACACAGAATGCAACTGGGGTCTTCACCCTGTACCAGATGTGACAATTAGCCATTAGTTGTGGGTTCTTCTTAATTCCCGCATGTGTGGTGCCCTTTTCAGATCAGGAGCATGGCACACATGGAGAAGGGGTTTAGGCCTCCCCATGACTCATTTCCACAGCCCAAAACAGTTCCATGAGGCACTATTTGAGGAAATCAAGGTATTCCCTAGGATAGAAGTAGGTATCCCCAAATAGTGTACTATCAGGACCACTGCAGTTTGGGAAGAGGGAAGGCTGAAATGCCTTCTCCACCTGCACTATGGTCCTGATGTGAATCAGGCACTGCATGCAGGGAACTGAAAAGACCCCACAATTCAAGTCTGAGACTGCCACATCCAGTGCAGGGTGGGGACCCCAGATGTAAGCTGTGTATTCTGCAATGTGTAAATTGATTTAGTTAAGTAACAGTATTGGTTTATTTAAAACATTTATTAGCCACCTTTCTACCTTGCGGAATGGAGGGTTGCTTACATTGTAAACCTAAAAGACCCCAATTTAAAATCTGATTAGGACTGCCAATAAAAGCTAAATTACCAGTCAAAGGCAGTCCTAGATAAAAACCATCTTCAACTGCCTCCAGAAGATCAAAAGTGAGCTGAAAATTTCAGATTTGACCTCCCTACAAGAATACTAGTTTTAAGTGTATCCTGTTTTTATGTATCCTGTGAGATGTGTATTTTTGCCTAAACTGTTTTAACTGTTGGCTTTTACTGCACTTGTGCCTTAATTGTTTTAACTTCTTGTATTTTTATCGCACTTTTGTGCCTGTGTAAGCCGCCCTGAGCCCGCGTGCGGGGAGGGTAAGGTATAAATGAAATAAAATAAATAAGTGGGCTATGGTATATATTTCTCATGAATGTCTTGGTTCCCTCCTGTTATATAAATGCTTCAACTGACCAATCTTTGGCCAAAAACTGAAGTTACCAAAGCTGTCTCCTTTTGTTATCACAGTTCATTAAGTTTGCTAGATCACTGGCTAGAGTGAGTAGCTGATGAATGGAAGCTTCTGAACCGTAAAAAACAAGATCCATCCCTCCTTTGCCACTTCCAAGGTTTCAGTGCCTGACAACCCAAATGAAATATTCTCACAGCTTTAAATAAATACATACTTTTAACATATTCCTTATTTGCTGGACGGAGAATCAGATACATTTGAGAAAAATATATATCCATATGTGGTAAAGAAATTTGTGATTATAGAAGATACTCTTTTAAAATGACCCCCCCCCCCAGTACATGAATGGTGTGAATCCTTCTGTGGGCAAGACTGCTGAGAATTCTATTAAGAGCAACTCACTGTACTTTATGCTGCGATCCTATGCCTTTCTAAGCCTATTAACTTCAGTGGAGTTGGAATGGTGTTAACTATGTTTAGGATTGTGCTGTGAGACACTAATCACCTACAGTGAGCTACTTGACCTGAACAAGTTGAATAGTTTCAATCATGTAATATTTGCCAAGTGATTTAACCCCCCTATTTCACAAGCAAGGTTTAACAACCAACAGTCTGTTACAGGATCAGAGGGAGGATTGACAGTCCATTATGTATGTTTACTCAGAAGGAAACCCTCACAGCGTTAAATGAGACTTAGTCAGAATAAGTGTGCACAGGATTGGAGCCTGAATTTAGAAACAAATATTCTCTTAGGCTGCAACCCCGAGCATACCTACAAGGTTACGAAACCAATTTCTGTAAGGATGAAGTCCTGATCTGAGGATTTACAGATAGCAATCTCTGCACAGATCTTTGGTCTATGAGTTTGTATGTGTAAAGACTATGAATTTCCTCCAAATAATATACAGGTCCTAACAAAACCATTGAATTAAGTAGTACTGTACTTTTTTTCTTTTTTAGGACCACACAGGTAAGATGTTTGATTGAGAGATTATGCAACAGAGAATATAAAAGTATTTAAAACACGTAAATGCCATATTCCAATTAATAATCATTGTTCACATATGTCTTTTTTAAAAGTCATTTATTCCATATTGATCTGTCTGTTATTGAAATATACAGCATTCAATTTTGCATGTATATTTCTTGCTTCTTTAATTCTATTATTTCCTTGCTTTATTCGTTATAGATTCCTGAGTAAAGTCACAAAGAGGCATCCCAAAGAGGCGGTTGGCTCGGCAACTGATGACGTGGCCAGCAGGAGGACGTCTGGAGCCGCAAGGACGTTGTGACGCCCACCGCGGCTGCGCACCAGGGCCCATAACCAACAGCCCTCGAGAGGAGTTGCCAGAGAGCCGAAAGAACAGCGGAGGCCACAGAAGCCGCACCGGAGAGAACTAGAAGAAGTCGCCCACTTGCCGGATAAACAAACGATCGGAGCCGTGAAGGGTACCTGGTAGGGCTCCCCCCACCCCAGATGTACTGTGGCCATAGTTAGGGTTTCAGCATAGGTCTCTGCACCATGCACTGTGTAAGCCGCTCAGAGCCCTTCGGGGGTGAGCGGGGTACAAATTGAAAGTATAAATAAATAAATAAAATAAATAAAAATAAAAAATGAGTCAAACAGCAAAAATATACTAGAAGGGCATAACAATTAAAAGCAGTTTTATAAATGCAACATAATGCTACTGGTGGTGGTGGATAGAGTTGTGGTTGTAGCCAATT